TTAGTACTGTCACCTGGAAAGAGACAAACAAAAGTCAGACTGAACTTCCTTCAGCTTTTTAAAAGCAGTGAAGTGAGTAGGCACCTTGTGTTAGAAGAAATGTGGGCATGAAGAGCAAAGAGATGCTTCCTCTTCAGGGACAGGACACTTGGCATCACTCTGTCTTTATTTGCTGGTTGTTGAAGAAAATGTAATGTTTAGGCAGCTCAGCATCTGTAGGGCAATCAAAAGTGAATTCTGCAATATTCTTACATTGCTCTCTGCTGAGAGCCTCAGTACCATGTTCAAGGCTCCAGATTTTATTTACATATCTTTATTTAATTCTTTGTTTTATAGGCATTTTTATTACACCTAATGCTTAACCCCTCTGTCTCTTCATGAAATCAGGGGATAAAAGACAGTGCATTTGTACTATAGAAGACATATGCATCTAATGTAAAGCATTCTGATAGTTTGATAAAAATAGAGTTGTGGAGGAAGATGAATGTTTCTTAGAAATAATATTCTGAGCTTGATCTTGTGGAATAGTTAGAACTAAAAATACTGGTTTTGAAAAGGTATGTTGGTGTTCAGTAAGTCCAGTTTGGACTGAGAAATAGAAGAAAATTGTTCTGGCAAATCTGATGGATACAGAAAGGTGTAGTGTTTTCTGGCTGAAATACTCCTGAGGGAACTTAATCTTGCAGTGCTGGTAGCACTGGCATTTGGTATGCTACAGCTGCAGCAGCACGCCCAGAAAATTTAAATTCAGTGTGACAGTTCTTAAGGTGGCTTTAAATAGAAATTAGCAATTTGTAAAAGTGTTTTCCAGAGTTTTATCAAAGGAGTAGAAGATGCATAGGACAATAAGTCAAGTTTCAGGATGTGTGTTCCAATTAGACTTATGGAAATATGATTGTTTTGATTCATGTGGGAATTGCAAATAAGAACTACCAGAGCAAGAGGCTCACTAAATCTGAAACCAAAGTATTGTTTTACACTCCAAGTATTCAGCACAGTAAATTTACTCTTATAGTACTGTCGTATTGTAACTTTTGAAAATTAACTTCCAAGAATGAGATTTCTTACCCTTACATAAAAATAATATTTTTGCTTCATGAAGGGCTATATCTATACAAACAGAGTATTTCAAAGTGCTGATTAAGTGTATTTTTCACTTATAGCAGACTGATGGATTTGTAAAAATCAGTCCAGTCATATCCCTGATACCTAAATTATATCATTTTCTTTATAAGTTTTATATTAAAAATTATTTATGTTGTTTTTAAATACAATAGAAATAGAAATAAAAAATAGTCCAATGAGATACTAATATTTTGTTTATTCAGTCCATGCTTCTCTTTGTTACTTCTAGTGTGCTAAGGCTTGTTTCCCCTTTGTGGATTTTTTGGTAACTTTTATTTACACTCAATCTTTTTTAGATGCAGTTCAATGAAGGCTAACAGTATTTGACATCTATCTGTAAACTGAAGAGGGAAAAGGTGGGTATTTTTGTTTTGTTTTACCTTTTTTTAAAATAAAAAATAAAGTTCTAGAAATATTTTTTTTCCTGTAGTTCATTATCATATTAGATAATATAATCTAAAATAGATATTCATTTAGTATGTTCTAACATTACATAAAGAGAAGAATTAATCAAAGTACGGTTTTGGCCATTGTTCCTTAGGAAACTTGTCAATAAATAATATTTTTTGACATGTAAACCCTTCATAGCCCTTGTTC